GGACAAATTGTACATGGGACAAAAAAGAGATGAGTAAAAAAGGGCAAGGAAGTATGGGTCAGGTATAGGGACCCTAAAACAGGTATTTGGCAGAACCCAGCAAAGGTCCTCTATTGGGGAAGGGGATATCTTTGTGTTTGCACCCTACAGGTTCACTCTGGGTGCTCTGGATGATTCATCTCGCAGACCCCTGACGGATCAGGACCAGAGGAGAATTAAAGAGAAGCTGATTCGCACAGTGGGACCTATTCTTCAAGAGATAAGAGGACATTCCCCAGTGATCGATCAACTTTTGCCTTCAGAGTCAACTTTTCTGGCAATTATTACGAGTATTGAAGCTTTACAGACTGTTCATATTCCGGGACCAAAGAATCCCGAGTTACTTGGTTGTGGGAGTTTTAATTGTAACAGTTGGGTTGCTTTTATTTGTGGGAGTAGTAGAAAAACGTACTGGGAAGACCAAGTATTTTTGAAACGACATTTTTGGTGTAAAAATCGTGACTTTCAAGCACAGGGAGAGACTTGGCAGAAAGATTTAATACGAGAGACAGGCTTAGGAGTTGCTTTAGCTTTGCAGTTATTTGAAGTGCCAGAACAAAAGATACTAGCTTTTTATAGATGGGAAGCAGAACATGTGGGTTAATTAGGCAAGCAAATTCAAAAACTTTATCAACAAGGTGCCAAAAGCAGGTGAAAGTGTCTATAAGATCTTATTTAGGAAGACCAGTAGTAGGAAATCCAGACATAGAGTTAGATAGGCTTATTGAAAATGTGCAGGCATTGAAATTAAAATCCAAGAGGAAGAAATCATGAGGGTGATGAGGTGGATAATCTATCTTGTTCCTTTGACTAATCTTTGTTGTGGACTAATGCAATTTAATCAGCCCAGAGAAAAGATTTGGGTAACCTTGGCTAACAAGACTAATCAATGAGCTTGGGAGGAGTTACAAATCCATTTCGTACCTGCCTAACAGGTGTTCCTGTCTGGAGACCAGAGGAATTTTGTGGGTTGGTAAAGGATCAAACATTTTGCAAGAATTTTGCAAAAGTGAAAGGGCCAGACAAGAATATTGATTACACAGGAGCTCAAAGAGATGGCTACAGGCAATGTTTGTTGGTACTGTCACTTAAAGAA